TTAAAGTATAACTAATTGATTTAGGATACTAGATCTCTTTGTGGAGACACATGGATTCCAAGGATAGTAAATTTCATTTTGCTTTTATCTACTTAATAAATTTATATAGAAGTCAGTTAACATTCGGTATGATATTGGAAAGTACTAATAATAAACTAACTGAATTGGGTTACTTCATAATATGAAGGGGAAAGAAAAAAATTCAGTTAGATGGAATGCTAATAATTTTTGAATTAGTGCTCTAGAAGTTGCCTCGAAAAAATTATACAGCCAGTACTAAATGAAGGAAGAAGAAATAAAAATTGGTAATTGAATTCATTATTAAATTAATAGTAAGAGAATTCACTTATTTTTAAATAAATCATATACACAGACAATAAAAATTAATCCTTAAAAGAACACATCATTTTAAAACTATATCATTATACATTTTTATAAAGCTGTTATTCAAAAATCATGACTTTGTGTGTCTTGACTCTTAAAACAATTTTCAGAAATATGAAATGTTATAGATGAGTCTCTAAGGCATGGTAATACCCACAAACCTGACAAACAATAAAGATCATTTCCAAATATTTTAAGCATCATCCTACAGGAAAATCTATTTGAGCACATTGCAGACATCAAGAAACCCTATAACAAAAGGAAATCTCAGTGAAATATGTTTCAGTTAAGAAGGGAATGCTAATAATTTTATAATTTCATGAATATTAAAACATATTCAAATATTTCCTTATATTTACAGACAAATATCCTATCACCACTTTTCAAAGAAGTTTCTTTTGTACCAGATGGAGTCTATTACCAAGTCCCACAACTGATCACATACAGATATTGTCTATGACTTGCCCAGGCCTAAGTGACACATCTACAGTGCAACCTCTACACCTAAGGCTCACAAATCTGTCAATCCGCATAAATGAAGCTTCCTGATGAGACAGAGGGTCAGGATCACAAAAGGTAACAAATGACCAAAATGTAGCATCTTCAAAATGCTGGTCCTTGGAAAGGACTCCTATATTAAACTTCACCCACCCAGGGCTCAGGGACCACTGCAGAAGAGGGGTTGGAAAGATTATAAGAGCCAGGGAGCAGGTGATGACCATATGGAAATAGACTCTTAAAAGAGTCTAGGACCATGTTCACATGAGTCTACGGCAATGGTGTTAGCATACACAAATCCAATGCAAACTCCAGCAGACAAAACCCAGGGTAGAACTGGGAAAATGGACAGCAGACACCAATTTTAGCTGAAGAAATAGTGGTAAACATTTAATGAGAGAGAGAGAGAGAGAGAGAGAGAGAGAGAGGTATAAGTCATAAAATGCTTGCTGTGTAAAGAGAGAGAGAGAGAGAGAGAGAGAGAGAGAGAGAGAGAGAGAGGTATAAGTCATAAAATGCTTGCTGTGTAAGCATGTGCTGGATGGTTTTAGTGTCAACTTGACACACCTGTGTTGAGGGAATCTCAGTTGGGGAATTGCCTCCAGTGGACAGGCCTTTGTCCATGTATGTGGGGTATTTTTTTTTATTGTTGAGTGATGTGGGAGGGCCCAATCCACTATGGGTGGTGCCACTCCCATGCAGGTGGTCCTGTATTGTATAAAAAAGCAGGCTAAACATGGACCAGGGGAGAAAGCCAGGAAGCAGCATTCCCTGCACAGCCTGTGCTCCAGTTCCTGCCTCCAGTTTCCTGCCCTAAATTTGTACTTTGTGCTCCCTGGTAAGCTGTGACCTGGAGATGTAAGCAGAACAAACTCTTTCATCCCCAAGTTGGTATTGGTGGCCAGAGTGTTTTCTCATAGCAATGGAGAAACAAACTAGAACAAAGTATAAGACACTGAATTGGATGCCCAGAATCTACTTAAAACCCAGGCATGGTGGTATAGGCTTATAATACCAGCAAAGGGGAATTGAAATAGGCATACTTCTATGGCTTCATAGTCATCTAGGTCTTGCCTCTTTCATGAGCTCCAGATTAATGAGAGACCTCTTAACCAAGGTGAATAACTTTTGAAGAATGATGCAAAAGGTTGTCTTCTGGTCTCTGCATGGATACTCTCATACATGCACACACTCAATGAATTCAAACAAGACAATCAAGCGAGAGAGCAAGAGAGAAACTAAGTGAGAAAGCTTGTAGCTATTTGTCTCATGAAAAGAGGGACATTTATTGATTACATTTCTTAATTTCCAAAAATTTTAAACATGTATATCCATATAATGTGCTCTCCTACCTTTCTTCTTGAAGTTTTGAGAATTTCATGCAATGTATTTTAATCATATTGAGATCCCCTTTAATATCTACCATCCCCTTACTATCTCCTGCCAAAATTCACATACTGTATTATAAATACTCACTCTTATATAGTCAAATTTGTGTCCCCTAATATCCTTTGGTATCAGTTTATCTACAGTAGTTTGATCAACCTACCAAGAGTTTCATCCTTAAACAAGACTGATTATCACGCTCCCTGCAGCCATCTGTTGCCAATAGATCCTTAAACAGGATTAGGTTTCTTACCCACTTCCCCACATCCTATGCTGGGATTTTGTCTGGCTTGGCGTTGTGTGAAACTTCTGTATAATGTCACCACTGGTGGAAATTCATGAGTAACTGTTCAGCTGTCTTGGAAACTCTAGCATCAGATGATCACAAGGACACAGACTTTTTCCAGACAGTTTGACAATTATATGAAATCTTTCCTTTAAAAAATTAGTATCTATTTAGTCCATTTAGTGCTGCCTGTATGTGTATGGGTATGAGTATGGGGCTATCTACTGGAATATGGGTAGGCTCCAGGTATTTGAGCATTTGGTTTCCAGGCTGCGGTGTTTCAGAAAGTCATGGAACCTTTAGAAAGTGCTGCCATGCTGGAGGAAGCATGTCACTTGGTGCACGCTTTGAGAGTTTTTAAGTCTTGCAAAATTTCCACTCTCTTTCTCTACTTCCTGTGCCTGCTTCAAGATGTGATCGCTTGACTTTCTACTCTGACCACCATTGTCACTATCTTGAACTTTTAGCCCTGGAACTGTAAGCTCAAATAAAGCCTTCCTTTTATAAAGGAAGCTGGCATTGTTTGCATAGGCCTGTAAACCATGGGAGTATGGAGATGCTTTGAAACTACTGAAGGTCTAGAGCAGACATTACAAACTCTAGGAAGAGCACACCAGGGGAGGAAATATCTGTAAGTAGGTGCAGAGATAATTTGGTCACTCCTAGGTAATGAGAGATCTGTCTGGGCAGAATCAGAAGCTTGGAGATGTGGAAGAAGAATTATGGTAAGAAAAGGGGATGAGGATGGCTTCTTCAGACTGGCCTCCAACCTACTGAGCAATTTGTGTAAAAGAGAAAGAAAGGTGGTAGTATTAGCCTTCAGGTTTTTTTTTATGACTAAGTGACTAGAAGGGGAAGAAAGCCCAAATCAGATCAACACAAGGTTCTTCCTGAGACCCCAAAATCTGGAACCCATGGGAGAGGGCAGATAGTGGTAGGAAATGAGTAACCTAAAAATAGCTTAAGATGACCCACAGATTCAAACTTTAATAAAATTAAAGGGAAAAATCGATGGTTCAACATATTAATGGAAGCAACAATGATCTGGTGTGAGAAACTATGACAATGAG